AAAAAAAAAAAAAAAAAAAGCAAAACAAAACAGCAGCTGCAGACTTGTCCCCGGCTGGAGCCCAGCGCCCCGCCTGGAGTGGATGAGCCTCTCCATGAGAGATCCGGTCATTCCTGGGACAAGCATGGCTTACCATCCGTTCCTACCTCACCGGGCGCCGGACTTCGCCATGAGCGCGGTACTGGGTCACCAGCCGCCCTTCTTCCCCGCGCTGACTCTGCCTCCCAACGGCGCCGCGGCGCTTTCGCTGCCGGGCGCCCTGGCCAAGCCGATCATGGATCAATTGGTGGGGGCAGCCGAGACCGGCATCCCTTTCTCGTCCCTGGGGCCACAGGCGCATCTGAGGCCTCTGAAGACCATGGAACCCGAAGAGGAGGTGGAGGACGACCCCAAGGTGCACTTGGAAGCTAAAGAACTTTGGGATCAGTTCCACAAGCGGGGCACCGAGATGGTGATTACCAAGTCGGGAAGGTAAGCAAGCCACCGGGGCCCCTCACCAGAGCTGCTGGCGGCTTTTCCTCCCTTTATTTCTTCCCTCCCCGAATAGTGGGTTTGCCAGTTACTAGGGCTTGGATGAAAACTTAGTTTACCTAGAACTGTGTACAGAGACTCAGGCCCTGCCCCAGCGGCAGGAAATCTCAGCTTACCTGGGCATCTGCAGCTGGCAGTTTTTTCCTACATAGGTTTGCATTCTGTGTTCCCTGCAGGATAGATGAATTTTTTTAGAGGTACACAGAAATTTTTTTGCAGGAACCAAGAAAACCACCCCACTGCAGGAAGTCCACTCTTGGAACCTTTTTGAAACATCATTATTTCTTTGTTGGGGTTGGGCTTTGTATGTTTCATTTTTATCTTGCAGAAAAGAAAAACAAAACAAAACTTAAAGGCCTTTTCTTTTGTGTGGTAGTACGGGAGGCCTGGCACTTGTTCCCCACCCTTTCTGCCCTGCAGCCTGGTTTCTGGGTTTGGAGGGGCCCTGAGCTTGGGGCAGAGAGGAAATCTAAGGGTGTTTGAGTTTGTTTGCTCACACCACTTCACGTGTCCACAAGCCGAGGGAGAGTTCAGCAGGGAATTTTGGATAATTAACATTGTGTTTGCAGACCTAAGGAACCAGTGGGGAGGCCCATACTGCTTTTTTATGTGCAGATATTATAAGCCATGTTTTATATAATGTTTAGATGTCCCTGCCTGTTTGAGACTTTCCTGGAATAAAGGAGCCTACGGCAGTCATTTAAAATCACTATTTTTTTCTTTTTATGGCCTTGGAATCTAGAAAGGCATGCATTTGAAAGGACAAAAATAAAACCCCTCTCTAGGTGTCTTCAGCTCTCTGTCTCCTTACATGCTAAATGAGAACAAAGTTTGGCATAAAATCCTCCTCAAATCCAGAAGCTATTTTGTCAGTTTTCCAGCAAAGGGTTTCCTTTTAAGTCAAGAGTACGGAATGCCAACACTTGTTTGAAATAAACGGCAATTTGGTGGCACGATCTTGCAGTTTGAGACTGGCCTGGGAAGTCCGGGAATGTGGTTAGCAGTGCGTGGGGCAGATTGGTTATCAGGCCCCGGGGTCCGCCCCAATCTGCAAAATTCATTTTGAGAACTCACTGAAAGGCAGTTAGTTTCATTTCGCTAGCAGCGGGACTGCTGTTCCACAGCAGGGAGGCGTGCAACTTAACGTTTTCTCCCCTTCATAAATTGAACATTTTCTCATCAATGGCTGGCAGAAAAGTCTAGCCACTTTACTAAATCCTACTCCGAGCTGTTGAGAACTAGACACCTACAGAAAAAGACGTGGGCAAGAATTTCCGTGCAAAGGACAATGTGTAAAGTCATCCAGAGAAAATGATTTTAAAAAACATTATTAGAAGATGCAGAGATATGCAGTGCCATAAAATCTCCAGCCTTTTAAAGAAGTAGAATGTAGTTAATACTTCAGGTGTAGAAGGAAGCAATGTTGCCACCCAGTTCCCCTACTCTTAAAAAATACAAGCTCACTCATCCATCACCTAAGAAAGTTTTCAACTTGGTTTAAATATTTTAGGATACAAATTTTTGGTTTGGAGTGATTTTTTTATTCTTTCTTTCTTTCTCTGTCTCCAATTGTAGGCGAATGTTTCCTCCATTTAAAGTACGATGCTCTGGGCTGGATAAAAAAGCCAAATATATTTTATTGATGGACATTATAGCTGCTGATGACTGTCGATATAAATTTCACAATTCTCGGTGGATGGTGGCAGGCAAGGCTGACCCTGAAATGCCAAAGAGAATGTACATTCACCCGGACAGCCCCGCCACTGGGGAACAGTGGATGTCCAAAGTCGTCACTTTCCACAAACTGAAACTCACCAACAACATTTCCGACAAACATGGATTTGTAAGTTTCATTGTTCCCTTCAGTAAAATTTCCTCTTTTTTCCTTCCAGCAATGGTAGTATGCCCTTATTCCCTCTAAAATCATAGAGTTTCTGCTCCCTTCACTCCTATTGCTAAGTGTAGCAAAGTTGCTCGATTTGCAACAGAGCGGGAGAAAGCATTCCGGGGTGTTTCTCTTCGGATAATGGAAGGCCTGGTGTTCCAAAAGCAATGGGGGCAAGAAAACTTACCGGCTCCTATTCTACAGCCATTGCAGGCCCTTGGCACATTCCTGACCTGATAGTGAACTTAAAAACAAATCATTCAGCTCTCAGATCAATTTTATAATGGATTTCCTAATCAGTTCGTTTTATTTTAAACTATACTGCTGTTTTGAAACTAGCCATATATTTCTTGGGAGAGTTTTCTGATTCCGAACCTTGACTACATTGGTTAAATGGTGCTAATACATTTTTAAAAGTTTGATTTTCTTGTATTAAAAACAACAACGACGACAAAGAATTGGGCTTCTGTGAAAGTCAGGTTGACTAGAATCGAGAGACTCAGATCTTCAGTGTAAAAATTGTGCGTGTGTTTGTCTGTGTTGAGATCAGTGAGAGAGTCCGTAGAAATTTGTAGAAAACTTGGATTGCTTGGAAAAGTCAGGCAAGGGACCTTTTGCCCTTTCCCTTACCCCTCCCCAACATTTCAATAAAATAAACAAAGTGATAAGTGGGGAATAAGCAGAAAGATTAGACCCAGGAAGACGTGAATGGCACGGAAATATCTTCAGCGGGCAGGAATTGCATTTGCAGCCTTGATTTGATTAAGGCATAAATATTCCTCTCTAGAGTTCAGCCTTTCAGGGGCCTTTAAGTGGATTGGGCTCATCAATTAGTGGGCGCTTAAAGTACTGAATCATTTTGTAAATTAAAATGCATGTTTTTCTCTATCTTTTAAGACTTTGGCCTTCCCAAGTGATCACGCAACGTGGCAGGGGAATTATAGTTTTGGTACTCAGGTAGGCTAGGGTTCAAGGTACGAATGAACCTTAGATGGTGAGGGTGGTGGGGGGGAACCCTTTGGAAATTGAGGAGCAATTTGGACTCTCCAGAAGATAACATCTGTGGAGCGAAATGTACCCGAGGAGGTACCCCGAGGAGGTGGGCTTGGTCCAAGCTTGGTACCCTGCGGTGGGGAAGATGTCAGCTTGGCAGGGGTCCTAAGATCCTTTTTGTCCTGCTAAATCCTCTTTTTCGGTGTCTCTCTCCGCTCCTGCCCCTGCAGACTATATTGAACTCTATGCACAAATACCAGCCCCGGTTCCACATTGTAAGAGCCAATGACATCTTGAAGCTTCCTTACAGTACATTTCGGACATACTTGTTCCCTGAAACCGAATTCATCGCTGTGACTGCCTATCAGAATGATAAGGTAACCAAAGGGAATTTTCTCTTGAATGTTGCTATTTCTCTTCTCCTTTCAGCTGCCTTGGGTAAGGATGAGAAAGTTACGAGACAGCTGGGATGGAAGTCTGAGCTTTCTTTTGCTATTTGACCTTCAGTGGAGTTTTTGGGGCAGGGGGCTCTGGCTTGTCTCAAAGGCAGGAGAAAAACTCCTGACCAGCTAGGAATCCAATAATGAATAAAAAATGCCAACTAACTTTACCAGTGAGAAACCCCTATAACTGTCATTGCTGGTGCCCTCTCCTCCCTCCCTCCCCCCGACTTTGTCCTGTTTGTTTTGAAGTTCATTAAATGTCCCTTTCGGGAAGAACGATCAAGAAGTCAGGTTCCAAATGAATGTGCTCAAAACTTAGAGCCCAAGCCTTTTGGGAATTCTGGGAGGAGAATTCTGGTGTAGACCAGCTTTTCTTCCCTAGCCAGAAATCCTGAGTAGCTGGTCTGGTTTTTATTACCTTTTATGCTGCTATGTTTTTATGATTTGTCTGTCTGTGTGTCTCTCTGTGCGTGTGCATGCGTGTGCATGTGTGTGTGTGTGTGTGTGTGTGTGTGTGGCTGGAAAAACCTACCCAGATCACAGGGTCATGCTAATCGAGTTGTTTAAGGCTTTTGAGAGGAGGTGGCCGCAGGCACCACTTCATCTGAAGTTTTTTCTCCCTTGAGCCTGAGGCTAGGAATTAGGAGCACTCCCAAATGAGGCCGCAGGCAGCCCCTGGGATCTAGGGTTATGGTGGCCTGAAGGTCACGGGCGTGCAGTGCAGAGACAGAGAGAAAGTGACCCTTGCTGCTGATTCACCGTCCCCCATGTGGCAGTATGGAGTGGGGTTGGTGGGGGGACTGAGGACCCTCAGCTCTTCAACTTCTGAAGGCTAGGCCCCAGTGAGAGCCCAGCTCACCCCACAACACTGCTCTCACCATTGGTGGGTCCTCTGTGGACAGCTAATGGGGGTGTCCCAAGTATGTTTCCTTAGTCTAGGAACTAAGGGAGCATGACCTCCTTTGCCTGCCGAGTGCAAACCTGAACTCTTGCATACAGCACTTTACTCCAAGAACAAGAAACCAACGGAGGGGCGCTTTTTCTACCTCTGGGGAACTATGTAGATAATTGTTCCCCCTCAAAGGGAACGGATTTGAGAGATTATGTACTATGGCATTTTTTTTTCCTCAGTGTGCCAAATACATGCTCCTTCTGGACCCAGAATCCTGCAAAACGGAGTTGTTAAGGCAGTAATAAATGGAACATTTTTGATCACACAAAGAGGCCACTGGTCTACTCCCCTTCATGGCTGTGGCAAGAACATAGAAATGAAAACAAATGTGTCTCGTGGTCATTCTGTCGTTTTCAATCTGTGGTTGTCAATATTGTAATTCCTCAAACCCCGCTTCGCCAAGCCAAAAACAAAATCAAACCCACTCCAGCACAAGGGCAGTGAAACCCTGTAAATTATTTTATTAGATTCAGGGGAAAGATTGGTGTGTGTGTGTATTTGAGGGAAGGGGAGTACACCTTAACGTATTTCATGATTAATTGCACCGGATAAAAAATCAAAACGAAAGTATAATTTTAGGATCTACAGGTTGTCTTGTTCAGCAACTTTTCCATGTCTAAACTCAAGCTGTCGTCTGCCTAAAGGAAAGAATGAGGCATTTCCAGGCTGGGTAACTTCGTCCTCAAATCCCTGGTTTAGCCTTCTCTGAGGGAGACAAGCTGCTGTAGAATTTTTTTTTTGCTTTTTCTCCCACCGCCCTGTGCCTCCAGCATCTCTTCCTTTCTCTTTCAACCTGGGACCTGGCGTCTGCGTGTAACTTCTTCTGTTGGCAGTCAGATTTCTAGAAGTCTGTTGGATTGGAGGAAACACCCCCAAAACCTTCTAGAAAATGAGGCTAATGTCTCTTTCTCACTGTGTCTCCTGTTCTAGATAACTCAGTTAAAAATAGACAACAATCCTTTTGCAAAAGGTTTCCGGGACACTGGAAATGGCAGGAGAGAAAAAAGGTGAGTTGATACATTTATTTGCCAGATCGTTTAGAAAAAATCTTTTTGTAGGTCCCCAAGTCTAAAGTGTTAGAAGTGGGATGAGGAAGGTGAGTGGACATAATTTATTTCCCTCTTGCCAATGGCTTACCGATTTGAATACCCTGGACTTTTTTTTACCTCCTACTTGTTACCTTTAAGGAAGTTAACTGGGCCACATCGTAGTTGTTTCTGGAAGAAAAATCTCAGGGATAGTAGATTACATAAGGATGCTTATAAATTCCTAATTAATTTCAATTCATCCTGGGCAGGTCCCAGAAAAGGACTAGGCCATTCACAAAATGCTCTGGAAGTTTCGCAATCTTGTCTTCCAAACGCCACCAGACAGAACTGAGGCCCTTTGGGAAATCTGTGGCTCCCTCCCTGTGCTACGGATCATTTTGCATTACTAGACAGCTGGATACTGTATGAAAGAAGTTCTCCCCCTCCTCATCCCTTTTCCAAGAATTTCTAAAATCATCTAGATTTTTAACCTATCCCCTTGGGGGGCGGGGGTGAGCATTATAAAGTTGTTTGTAAAATCTAACTAGACTTTTACTCCGATTAATGCGCTGGTGCAGCGATCACAGTAAAGTGCACCATGAAATAACCACTTCCTTGCAATCTTAGCGACCATTCAGGAGTTTGGTAGGCTGGGGATGGACATTATTTTCAGAGTTGGGAACCTGGTTCCCCTCTGTCTGTCAGGCCCATAGTTCAGCTGTCTCTTGCCAGCTCCAACCTCCTTTCTTGCTTTTAAAGATGATTTCCTAGCCCAAGCAAATGCCACTTCCTTAATGAAACTCTGATTTTGGATCAGTTCATCCAAAGCCGCCTTCTTTCCTCTGTACCCCTCACCCCCACCCATTGCTACACTCTTCTACCCAGTTCCTGCGTGATTCAGGGACAATGGTTGGGTCTGTGTGGCTAGCCTGGGGCAAGCTGATTTCAGAGAACTGGTGTTGTCAGTGAGCGGCAGACAGGGTGAGGTGTGAGGTGTGTGTGTGCCTCTTTGGAAACCAGGGAGGGAAACAAAGAGGGGAAATGTATTCTGTTCTGTAACATTGGGTGTGGGCTTCTGCCACAGAAAACAGCTGACCCTTCAGTCCATGAGGGTGTTTGATGAAAGGCACAAGAAGGAGAATGGAACCTCGGATGAGTCCTCCAGTGAGCAGGCCGCCTTCAACTGCTTCGCTCAGTCCTCATCCCCTGCAGTCTCTACAGTGGGGACATCGAATCTCAAAGGTGAACCAAGTCACCTCTGTGACTGTTCTACCTGGGGTCTTCACGGCCTGGGAGGAGTTGAAGGAGCAGTGGGTAACACCGGCCAGGGGATTTGCCCTTCAAAAGCTAACCGTAACCCTACTAGAAGTTCCATAAACAGGAGCCAAATCAATCAGGGTGTTAATGTATGTTGCCCTGCCTAAGCTAGTACAGAGAGCTCAGAACCACTTTCCCCAAACCTTGATTTGCCTGGAGAGGGGAGTGTCTGTATATTCCCTCTTTGAGGATGATTTTGAAATATGCCTGGACCGTCTCTCATGAACTGAGCAACTGACTTTTTGGCCATCTTTGAAATCTAGGTTCAAGTGTATTGGACTGAGGGGGACAGGGCAGTGAGGGAGTTCTGTGCCACCTAGAACAGGGAAGGTGGCAGAGAAAACATCTAGCTAGAGAACCACAAGGGACCTGTTTGGGCGGGGGGTGGCACACAGGAGGTAGAACTGAGTTGGGGGTGGGGAGGGGATAAGATGGTTCAAATCTCTGGCTGGTTTCCTATGTTTAAAGAGCAAGGGCTATTTATTTGGAAAGACACACACCCACTCTTTCTCTTTCTCAATGGAAGAAACCTGTTTTTAAGTGAAATAAAATGAGAAGTCCTTTATGTCTTCAATCCATTTAAGCTTTTTGAACATCAAATAGGATCCCCTTTTCTCTTCTGGCTGGTAGGACACCCATAGAGGGTGTGGTGGAAGCAAAAAAGGCATCTATGGTTGTCTCCTGGCAGTGAGCGATGGGCCCATCACCCTTCTCCCTCTGCAGTGACAGGGGCAAACACAAGGAAGGTTCCAGTGAGTGTGTGCCTTGCAGGTAGGGGTGCCCATTTCTGCAATTACGAATTCAGATGCCAGGGTTCTGGCCAAACAAATCCTTCCGAAATAATTCACAAATACGTGCAAGGTGCAGAACTCTATCACTCACTGAACAAGCACTCTGAAAGTGCTTGGAGTGCATTTCTGCAGTGAATTTAGAGTAAACTAGTTTTTTGTGTATTTTTTTAAAGTGAATTTGCAATCAAAATGCATATATAGGCAGGGCCTGACATAGTGGGAGCTCAATGGATGCTTGTTTAAAAAAAAATCCATTGTAACAGAAACTCCTACTGATTGAGGACTTGGGGCTGGGGCGGGGAGTAGGGGTCAGCTCTCTCTAAATACTTTAAATGTGTTGTTAACTTATTGAATCCTCCCTGCAAAGTTGTAAGATATCATCACTCCCATTTTGCAGATGAGAAAACTGAGGTGTAGAGAGAGGTTAAGGGGTTTGTTGGGAGTTACACAGCTAGTAAGTGGCCGGAGCTGGGATTCAAACTGGGAACTGGAGTTCCGCGGGCCCAGAGTGAATGAAGCTAAACGCCCTCATGCCTCGCTTTTTCCCCCTCCCATGGTAGATCTGTGTCCCAGCGAGGGCGAGAGCGACGCCGAGGCTGAAAGCAAAGAGGAGCACGGCCCGGAGGCCTGCGACGCGGCCAAGATCTCCACCACCACGTCAGAAGAGCCGTGCCGCGACAAGAGCAGCCCGGCAGCCAAGGCGCACCTCTTCGCAGCTGAGCCCGGTGGCCGGCCCCGGGACAGCGGGCGGCTGGACAAGGCGTCGCCCGATTCGCGGCACAGCCCGGCCACCATCTCGTCCAGCACCCGTGGCCTGGGCGCGGAGGAGCGCCGGAGCCCGGGGCGCGAGGGCGCGGTGACAGCCAAGGCCGAGGAGGTGCGCGCGCTGCCGGGCAAGGAGGCCTTCGCGCCACTCACAGTGCAGACGGATGCGGCCGCCGCGCACCTGGGCCAGGGCCCTCTGCCGGGGCTCGGCTTCGCCCCGAGCCTGGCCGGCCAGCAGTTCTTCAACGGGCATCCGCTCTTCCTACACCCCAGCCAGTTCGCCATGGGGGGCGCCTTCTCCAGCATGGCTGCCGGCATGGGGCCCCTTCTGGCCACCGTGTCCGGGGCCTCCACCGGCGTCTCGGGCCTGGATTCCACGGCCATGGCCTCTGCCGCCGCTGCGCAGGGACTGTCGGGGGCGTCCGCGGCTACCCTGCCCTTCCACCTCCAGCAGCACGTCCTGGCTTCTCAGGTACTTCTACCGTCCTCCGCTGACCCTCTTTCCCTACTCCTCCCCAGCTTCCACTGTAGAGAGGAAGGGCCAGAGGCCCAGAGATGTTGGGTAACTTGCCCAAGGTCACTTGACTGGTAGGTGGTGGGGCTCAGACAACTCCAGGCAGTCTGACACCAGGCCCATTTATGGGTTTGATTTGAGCTTCTGAACTGAAAGGTCACTTAAATGTCTCCCAGCCAGCCCTCGCCCAGGAATCAGACAATAAGAGGAGACCTGGGGAGGGAGGGAAAGTGACTTCTTGGATGGGGATGAGTCTTCCAAACTTTCCTCCTAATTCACACAGCTTGTTCCCCTCCCCTCCCCCAACAAGCCAACCCATTCCCCAAAGGGTTAAGGGTTTGTGCACACGTGGGAAATGTCAAAGGAAAGGGACAGGCCGGGGCTGGGACAGGCCTGGCCGCCCGTGTAGGGCTCAGACAGCTGTGCTGGGGCACCAGTGGCTGGGGATAAGTTGGAGGCCTCTGCCAACACTCTGAACCCGCAGAGGAGATTCCACTGGGCTTCTGCAGGCTCTCGCTTTTTGTTTTGTCTGAGCACTTCCATCTTCCTTCTCAGAGCCAAGAGGGCAGGATCTCCCTCCCACTCTGGGGGGAGGGCGCTGAGGAAAGGGTTGGCTTCTGGCCTTTCTCGATTCCTTCTATCACCTCTGCTGGCTTCCCTTGGAGACCCTGTTGTAGGTGGGTAGGTGGTAGGCGGGCCAGGGACTGTCCAGGCCAAAAAGCACTACCAGAGAGAGAGAACTAGCCCCAGCCATGATCCCTGAATTTGAAATACTGCTTCTGCCACTTATTAGCTGAGTGACTGCCTCAATTTCCCCACTGTAACACCAGAGTACCAAGCTAAGTGATTTCTTTGTTCCTGTTTGTCCACCCCTCACCCCCTGTCTTTCCTTTTTCTTAAGATCGTCCCTGGGTTTTCTTCATTTGAGAAACTTCTAGAACTGGGGTGAGGGGAGGGCAAGAGTGAAAAAACAATATTTTATGTCAAATAACTTAGGCCCTCTGGTTTCCACTAGGCCACTTTCGTGGGGTAGACCACCATTTAACAGGTGCAGCAACTCACGCTTATGTGAGGATTGTTAACAGGCCTAGGGCCAAGTATGACATGAAGCATATAAGCACTTGGCTGCTGGTTGGAATCTACCTAGTGGCTCTGCAGAAGAAAGACCATATGGGGGCAGTTCTACTGTGTCACTGGGGGTCACTCGGAGTCAGAATTGCCTCAGGAGCAGCTAACAACAGCAACAAAGCTCATTCAATATCCCAAGTCCTCAATAAGTATATGAATTACTTAATATTTCCCTGTGGGTTTTTCTTCCCCCTATAAGAAAGCTGAGGCCCAGGGAGGGAAGTAGCCAGCCTTGGGGTGACACAGCTAAGATTTGAATTTAGGGAAGTCTGAGGCCTCCCTGCCTCCTCCCTCCCCATCAAGGGAGAGGGATTAAAGTTCCCCCAAGGGATGTGGGGTGGAGGGGGAGCAATGTGCGCCCCTCCCCACCCCGCTGGCCTTGCCCGGCTGACTCCCGGCCTGCGTTTCTCTTCCTTCCCCAGGGCCTGGCCATGTCGCCTTTCGGAAGCCTGTTCCCCTACCCCTACACGTACATGGCAGCGGCGGCTGCCGCCTCCTCCGCGGCGGCTTCCAGCTCCGTGCACCGCCACCCCTTCCTCAACCTGAACACCATGCGCCCGCGGCTGCGCTATAGCCCCTACTCCATCCCCGTGCCGGTTCCAGACAGCAGCAGCCTGCTCACCACCGCCCTGCCGTCCATGGCGGCGGCCGCGGGGCCCCTGGACGGCAAAGCCGCCACCCTGGCCGCCAGCCCGGCCTCGGTGGCCGTGGACTCGGGCTCGGAACTCAACAGCCGCTCCTCCACGCTCTCCTCCAGCTCCATGTCCTTGTCGCCCAAACTCTGCGGGGAGAAGGAGGCGGCCACCAGCGAGCTACAGAGTATCCAGCGATTGGTCAGCGGCCTGGAAGCCAAGCCGGACAGGTCCCGCAGCGAGTCCCCGTAAGCCCCTCCCCAGAAAAGTCTCTTCATTCCAATCCAGTCGAGTCTGCAGTGCACTTTGTTGGATGTAAAATAAACCACGGGGGTGCCATGAGCTTAGCCCTTCCTTTTTGGCAGGCGCATCTGGGAAGGGTTGCTGGACTCCCTCGAGAGAATGTGCGAGAGACAAGCCCAGTCCTCTTGGCGTGGTCTATGCCCCGGGTGTACATCCTGGATCTGGCCCAGATTTAGGGGGCCCAGTAGCATCGGTTGCGTTGAGCTATTGGGGGTGGGAGTTAAAAAGCATTTATGTCCAGAGCAGCTACCAGGGAGGCAGGCCGGGAGCTGTGGCCAGAGAGGAAAAGGTAGCCAAGCCCACCAGGAGGGGTAGATGGGGAAATGCATCTACTCCCGTATGGATTTCTATTTTTCCTCCGCTGTGTCAAGTGAAAACAAAAACACATAAAATTTTAAAAAAAGGGGGGGGGGAGGGACAAATGAATACATAAACGTGATTCTGTTTGTGGCGATTAAAAAGTTTATAGTGACTTGCATATCAGTTCTAAATCAATTACTGAACAGCATTGCTTGGGGAGGGAGGTCCCCTGCCCTCCTTTTTTAGTCTATATTAAGGAAATCTGTGTCTTTTTAATATTCTTGTGATGTTATAGGAGCCGCTATAGGCCACTTCTTGCATGTGCCATGGTAATGTACTTTGTGGTTTTTATTTTGAATGCTTGCTTTTAGAGAGAAAACACCATGACCCCAACCCCCGTCTCCCCAGTCTTTACCCCTCAAATTGGCAACCCCAAGGTGGGGCGGTGGGGGGGAGTTTATAGGGGGGGAATGGGGAAAACACAACCAATGAATTTATTTTATCGAAGCTCTAGCTGGATTTGTTTTCCCTCTTCAGCAGTTCTTTCTCTTTTCTGTATATGCAATAACAAGGTTTTAAAAATAATAAAGAAGAAGCAAGACTATTAGACAAAGTATTTATGTAATTATTTGATAACTCTTGTAAATAGGTGGAATATGAATGCTTGGAAATTAAATTTTAATTTATTGACATTGTACATAGCCCTTATGTAAATAGATGGCCACTGTCAGGCTTTCCTGTTGCTTTACCTTTAGTCGGTTTTCTTTCAAGCTCCCCTGATTGCTTTTAAAACGAGAAAACACACTTTGTGCACCAACACACTTTCAAAAGAGTTGCCTGCAAAAAAGTGATTTTTAAAAAATGTCCGATAGAGCGGAAGAAATGCCACTGCTTGTTTTAGCCAAAACTGGGGAGGGGGTGCCACTTCCTGGGTTCTATTTTCAGCTCCTTAAAAGAGAACTCCTCGTGAGTGACTCCAAGATTGCCGGGGAGGGGGGATAGTACAGAGGCTGTGGTTTGATTCTTCTTTTTTCTTTTGTATTTGTATTTGCTAGCCTCGATTTCCTCAAAACAAAGTGGAATTTACTGCTGTTGTCAATGTTGATGGTGTTTTGAATTGGTGCCTCTAGAGAGAGATTCACAGTTCAAAAGTCAGGTGCTGAGAGATGGTTGAAAAAAAAATTCATGAAGGTATATTTTGTGTTATAATTGTTGATGAGTTCTTTGGTTTTCTGTATTTTTTTTCCCCTCTCTTTGAAAACATCACTGAAATTTCAATAAATTTTTATTGAAATGTCTTTGGTCCTCACGTTAATTGCTTTCTTTAGGAAACTTTTGTGAAGGTGGAGACTGAAGAAAGAAGGAAGGATTCCGTCTCTCCGCTTCTCTCTGCCTACGTCTTCCCTCCCTCCTTCCCTTTGCCTTTAAATAATTAAGACCGCCCCCAAAGAACTAAGATGAGATGTCACTCAAGTTACAAAGCTAAAAACAAAGTCCCTTACTCAAGCAAGGGGAGCCGCTTCAATCTGAAATTACTTTTCCTTTAAATTAGGGAGTGAAAAGGGAGACAGAAGGGGGGGAGCTGATTAGAATTCGGATAGAATAGCAATTTCGTATACTTAAGTTTTAATGGAAAAAGACTGCCCTGCCCCGCTCCTTAAGTCAGCTTTTCCCACACGCATCCGGCCAAAAATAAGTTCGAGGACTGCGAACGTTTTCGTTTTAAGTTCGCTCTCCTTTCCACATTGATCTGGAGGAATCTAAGGCAAAAATATCTCCCCGCGCCACTGTTTGGCGCGGGAAAAGGAGAGCAGAATCCGCGCGCGGACCGACCAGGTTGTTGGAGAAATGCGGGAGACTACATCCCTCTCCCAGTGGTCTCTGGTGTCCCAATTGGACCAGGCTGGCCCAAGGCGCCCCTACGAGGCTCCATCCTTTCTCTACGTTGCGCTTGCGAAGCGTGGCCCGCTCGGCGCACACTTAGCTGGGCCACGCAAGGAAGGAGAGACCTTTTCCTCGCTAGAGAAAGGTAATTACAGGTCGCATATTTGACCCCCTCCAGGAGAAAAGTCACCCCGGAGACCAACACGCTCCTCAGTTCTCCCCTCCAACCAGTCTCCAGGCAGTATGGGGAGTTGCCTTTTTAAGTTCAATTTATCTTAGAAACATTCAATAAAAAATGGTGAAGCCTGTGTCGGACTTTTGGTCTCCCAGTCTCCCCACCCCCAGCCTCGCCTCAGAGGTGTGTGTGTGGTGGGGGTGGGGGTGGGGAGGCCGGAAAGTTCTGGAGGGTTAATCCTAAGGCCTTTTCTTGCGCTGGGGGCCTTGACGTGAGGACCCAGCCGGAGCCTGCCTGGCGGCTGCCTCCCTCCCGCCTCCCTAAAGCCTGCCAGCCCGGTCACACGTTCCTGTCACCTACAAGCCTCCCAAAGGGCCGGCAAAGAGGACCCCCCTCCGCTCTCCCATCCAGTATTTGGAAGGGGATCGAAAGGGAAATCTTTGGAGAGGGGTCAAAGCCTTTTTCATTTTCAGCTAAGTACGTGGGGGACCCCCACAGCCTCTCCTGGGGTGGGAGGGAAGATAATGAGGGTGGGGGTGGGGTCTTGGAAGGCCACAGCGAAGAGTCTGGGGACCTTTCAGGTTGCACCCCGGAGGGCTCGGAGATCCCTAGGGCGCGCGCCATGCGCGCAGAAGCGCCTTAGAACAGAGCTGGTTCTTGGCCCCACCATCGCAAGCAGTGCCTGCGCCCCTGAGAAGGTGCAGTCCCAGGTGGCGGAGAAGATAACTCAGCCGCAAAGAGGAAAGAAAAGCTACGCTTGGTTTTCTCCATCCAGATTCGTTCACTTCTTTCCCTCCCCACCCCCTAAATCCGGGACGGTGCTCAGAAGTGTGTGTCCGGCCTCTCCTACAGGCCGGTCTTTTTTTTTTTTTTTTTTTAATCTCCTGTGTATCTTATTTGTATATAGGGATGTTAATGAGTAACTCTTGTGGCGCTGATGGACAGGGGTGAACCGCTCGCAATCTCTCTGGATTTCGTTGCCTATTACTCACCTGGCGCCGGTCGCAATCTCGCCGCAGGCTTTATGGTGGCGGCGGACGCCGCGGAGGCCACTCTGAGCCGGCGCCCTGGCCTTTTTTTTTTTTTCTTTTTTTTTTTTTTTCCGGGCTTCGAGTGCCACCTATCTGTCTGGCCGGCGAATGCGCCCTGGTCGCCGCCGTTCGCTTGGCTACCCCAGAGCCTCCTGGGCTCCGGAACTTGGGCGCTTCACCTGGGTCCGCTTCTCATCCCCGCCACCCCCAGCTCGCGCTCTCCCCCACCCAGCCCCAGCCTCGGAAGAAGCAGCCGTCGCCTCTTTCCTGGATATCACTTTCACCCCTGTTTGTGCCTCAGATGAGAAAAACAGTCCTTCCAGTCCGCGCGTTTCCAACGAACGTTTGGAAATTCAGAGAAGGGACCTTGTCTCGTAATTCCCTCGCCAAGTACCTTGATGCCGTGTGTAGAAATCTCCGGCAGCCCCCCCTCCCCGACCCCCGCCCTGCACCTGAATTCCTGATGGATAGATAGCAAGAGAAAGAATTTCCTTCTCCTCAACATACACACCTCGATATCTACCCTGGATGTAACATCCCTTTCCCGGCAAGCTCCCGTCCTTACTTTATAATTTTGGAATTGTTTATTTTTAAATCTGGCCTCGTCTACAGGGAAACAGGCCACGGTTCGCGGGAGCAGCAGTGAGGGCCCCGGCTGGGGTCAGCTACCGGGGCGTGCAAGGCCCAGCGACTTGGTGATATGTAGATTTAAGGTGACAAATGCGGGTGCCAGCCGAGCCCTCCCGCCCCCCGCCCCTGCGGAAGGTCGGCTCCCAGCCGGACTGCGCCCTGGCGTCTGAGATCGGCGGACGGAGGGGTGGGCTCGCCTTTTGCTGGGCTTTGAGCCGCGGGTGAAGGCGTCCGGGTTCCTGCTGACCTCCCGGCGCTAATTGCAGGGGCCGAAGGGCGCGCTCGGGCAGAGCCAGGGGTCACGACCCTGCGCTCCCTCCTCCCGGGTCCCGGCAAGCCCGAAGGAGCGGAGTGTGTGCAAGCGTGTGCTTACGTGTGTGTGTATGCGTGTGTGTATGTGTAAGATCTGCGCTGTCCTCAGACCCACCCTTTCTTTGTGGGGAAAGTTCCCAGGGTGTAGATCCTTAAAAAAAAGTCCATCCAAGAAAAGCAACTTGAATTCTGACCTTTCCCCTAAGCCAACGGACAAGTAGCCACCTTCGGACGCGGCAAGAGGCTTGAAAGGCTTAGCGGCCTCGAACTTTCTGCCTCGCTGGTTTCCAAATTTGACCTCAGACGACCAGCCAAGAGAGTGGCTGTTCCGATGCGTATGGGAGGCTGCGGAGACACGACCTGGCCTCTTATGTAGGTAGTCCTATACGTTCGTACCTATAGGTAACTCTTGGGGTGTTTGTATTCTGGGGCCAGGAACTACAGGTGGTAGAAGTCGATGCGTGTGTGTGCGTGTACTTGTGCGTGCCCCATCTGCAAACGTCTCTTCCAATTTGGAGTTAGAAGTTCCTGCTCAAGACAGTTCCGGATGTAGATACATTTGGTTGTTTCATAATCAAGATGCGTGTAATCAAGATGTATATGTTGCAGATGTTCGT